ATAAAATAACTAGTTTGCCATATTGGCATTGGCGTATACAAGCATATAAAAATTTTATATCAAATGGAATATCTTCAGAGTTGGCTGAAGAATGAGCTTTAAGAGTTAAGCTCTCAAAGAGGTATCAAAATGAATGTGTATCTCATATATCTAGCTTATCAGTATAAACTAGATTAGTAAGAAGAAGAAACATATACCAACTTGAAACATTTCTTAGATACAAAGGAGAATCAAAGATTCGGCACTCTATGATATTATAACCCTTTAGGGTCATCCATTGGGCCTGCTCCGCAATAGAATTATATATAATATATTTTTTTTTTCTAAATTGTGTAAATGCAGGTTGGTAGTATATGATCTCTAATCACAATATCATATTTCATGAATTTTCTAGCAAATTCCAGTTGTTTCAAGAGCTTGGGATAAAAAGTATAAAACCCCATCACTTTTCTCATCTACCTCAAAAATCGCTTCCCAAAAATTAATCAATTTCTTAATCATGAATACACCCACTTCTGTATCAGATATTCTTAACCAAATTCTCAATTCATGTTGCATCTGCCAAGAACCAATTAAAAAACCAGTCGCTATCTTGGAATGTGATCATATCTTACATTTCAACTGTGCTATTGAATTTTTTGCAATTAGTGAAAATATTATCTGCCCTGTTAAAAATTGCCAAAATCAAATTAAAAATATAGAAACAGTTGAAAAGGATATTGGTGATCTTGCAGAAGCTTTAAAACCTGGAAATACTCCTAAAGTTAGATCTTTTCTTCGAGAAATTTCTAAAGATTTACCCCATTCTGACGCATTATCTGAAATAGAAAAAATACCTCCCTCAACTGCACAGGGATTTCTCCTCTTATATGTAAATATAGATCAAGCTGAAGAATTACTCGCTTGCTCGGAGAGAAATGTGGTTCATGCTAAAAAAGAAGTCATCTTGTCTTATTATCAGTTCGGAAAAGCAGATGCAGAAAAACTTAAAGAGTTACTAAAGATATCGATCCCTCTATGCACGGCACAGAGTAAGATAGTTGCTGAAGTTAAGAAATTACTCCCCAGTGGTACTTCTATTAATGTTATAAAGAGAAGAATTGCTACAGCTCGAAAGATTTATGATATCTTCAGCACAATTGGTGAGGATAATATCCAATGAATCAGAAATTTCAGCGCATCAAGTATTGGGGCTTTCAAAAAAGATGAAATTGAGTTTATTAAAACCGGAGATAACAAATCTAAATTTAGAATAGAAAGGGAAAGTTCAAATATATGGACAGACTTCAATGTATTGCAGAGCAATGACCCAAAGGGTCTTAATTCTGGTACAAATTCTTTAGAGTCGAATTATACAATTGATGTATCATATATGGATGATACAGAGATGATATTAGACAAATAATGATTTTCATATCATATGACATCGTACGGTTTTGGCTCGACATCATATGATCAAGTGTATTATTGCGAAGCAATGATGGCACAGAGTGCCAAATCTCCCTTCAGGTCTAAATTTGCCGATCTAATACTATAAAAGATTATAACTCTTTGAGCCTAGCCTAAATGCGCATAATTTATATATGCATCAAGGCCTTATTTTTTTAACAATTTTAATAAAGTTATAGGTAGAAAACAAAATAATAATAATATATATCTATACTCAACAATTACACGATCAGTTAAAAAAAATGGCGAGCCCGCGAGACCCCCTCTTTATTTAATAAAACATTGTTGCTAAACATTATACAAATAAAATATATATATTTATTATATAATAAAAAATGCCCTTAACGGGTTAGGTTGGTGGGGTTTACATTTGATCTAACATTTTCCTTCGTTGACCAGAGTTTAACCAATCATTATCATCATTTTCCTCATCATGCTCTAAGTTTTCTTTCAACATTTTTCTCCAGGTCTCATTATCTAATTTTTAGTAAAATAAAAAACTTAATTCTGATAATTATATTTCAACACAAATGTACTGGCATGGCACGAAGTTTACTTACAAGATAAAAATTCTCTCGGCTTGTATTGTCGCTTTGATTTAGAATAGTTGAGGGTGGTGCTATCATTAGTCTTGGGGGTGGTGCTATCATTAGTCTTGGGGGTAGCATTGTTAGTCTTGGGGGTGGTGCTATCTTTAGTGCTCATTTTACGGTTCTAAATAAAAAATATAGTAAGTAAAATTCGTTTTCATAGTCGCCGTTAAACAAAATGACATTACTTTAAAA